TCCGTCATATAAACATCTTCAAACCTCTAATTTTCAAAATTCTTCCTCCGACGATTTACGGCCCAGCAGGGCAAGTAGATCAAGTACATCAAGTATACGACGTACTCAATCTAGTATGGATTTGGTCATATCTGCCTTCTCTGAGCATATTACCCATCCGACAATTCAAAGTTTTGCCCAGAATCGCAATTTGGCCAGACGAGCGTTTCTCGTCGAAGGAGTGATTTTCTGTTTCAGGGGGTCGAAATCCCTCCCATGAACAAATTTCTCCCTAAAACTTTGAATTGTCGGATGGGTAATATGTTCAGAGAAGGCAGATATGACCAAATCCATACTAGATCGAGTATGTCGTATACTTGATGTACTCGATCTACTTGCCCTGCTGGTCCGGCGTTAAATTCGGCATTTCGAATTAGAGTTTGAAGATCTTATACGGAAGGCGAAAGCAAAAATTTTCCGTCCAGGCCGGATGGCAAACCGCGGACATCGTTTGACTTGAAGCCGAGATCCATTTTAGCCACCGAGTGGCCACGATGGCAGCTGCGACGCATCGATCAGCTAGCTCCTTTACGACCAGAACTCAAACTTTGACCACCCAGATCTCGTCTGGGAGGTCCCGTAGCACTTTTAATCTGCATATTCGTAATCAGCATTCGAGGCTCTATCGATGTACCTAGGTCTCCATTCAAAGTTCCATGGGAAGTTCAAACCATTCCCTTGTTAGCCTTTATGTCCCCTCTTGTTAGCCCATTTGTTTGGAAAAATTTCGCGTGAATTTGCCCTGGTCCTGCTGTTTCAGATCCCAACAACCGGATCTGCCCAGGGAACTCTGGAATGGTTGACGCCGCAAGGTCAAAGGCAGCTGAAGCCCACAACTATCGGAAGTATCTGGAGCTCAATGTCTAGTGAAAGAATATGTAAACAGAACTATGAACAATGCTATAGCTTCTACAGAGGAAGGTTGACGCGAGGAGAAGTGACGAACAAGGCTGGAAATACTTTGCCCACGGGCTCCAACGCGGAAACTGGTATTTTGGAAATTTGCTGATATTTAAAGAAACGGTCCGCGATCAGGTATCGAAGTTGAAAATATGGTGTGGGGAGGGTAGTGCGGTCCGCGACGAACAACCCTGTACCGTTTTCGCGGAAAAAAGTGCAGGGGAGGGGCGCTATAAGGCAGAATAGATCCAGTGGTTCCTCCTTTTTTCCAGTGACTCCGCCTCCCAAGCGCCGCCCTTTAGTGAGAAACCAAGTTTTCGGACGAGAAAAGCATGAACATTTGAGCCCCTTCGTTATTTGTACGGACGTAGGGTTGTATTGGGTCAGCTGAGCGCACAAAGGGGTACAACTGGAAATGTATTGCAAAAAGTATGTATTGCAAAGTGCACGAAAAGTTGGAAGGAAAATAGCATCATTTTGAATTTGAAAAGCAAAACAAACTCAAAAAGAACAAAGAAACATAATGATGCGATGAGTTCACTGAAAAAATAAGAATATTAAAGGTCAGTCTTTCAACGTGGCGCCACACCTACTTCTGGCAGCGAGCCAATAACGTGGAACGCTCGTCCATAAGCGCTGTTTCCCCATCGCATGCACGTACAAACCAGGATTGTAATGGGGTCCTATTTAGGACATTGGGCATGTTTTTTCTGCTTTTTTTTTCTTCACTATTGAGTTACTCTGAACCTTGTCCTCTTTATGCGAAGCCCAAATTCACTATCTAAGATGGCAACTGATCGCGGGCTTTGCCTTGAGTTCCGTTCCTTTACAGTGAAGTCTGCTCTCTTCTTGCAATTCCAGAGTAGACTTCCAAGTTCACAATTGCACGCTGGAAGCCAGTGCTATAAGTTCTGCTAAAAGGTGTTCTGTGATAACAGTTCCGACAGTTCCTTCTGGTGTGCAAGAAAACTACGCTTTATTTGAGAAGTGGCATGCTACGACTGGAACAGATGCGCTTCTTTATGTCAGTTGAATACGTCAAGAAGTTCCTATTATTCAAGGAAGATGTTTGGCATTCAGGCTACAAGACAATGGTGGAATCAAATAAGGTCGACCGGCGGCATTGGCCAAGGTGTCACGTTCACACAATATAACGTTGGCACACAGACTGAATGGTTTACTAGGGAAAGGTTTTTATAAAGGGAATTACAGGTAAACAGGAAAGAAAAAGACAGAAAATGCACCTCCATTAGCATGCCAGCCCAGATGGTCATGCCCCGTTGTGTATTTATCAAGCTTATCAAAATTTGCACATGGCATGGGCGACCACCTCGAAAATGGGCTGTGCAGTAACAACTTGCTCCAACTATTGGTCCGTTGTCTGTCATTACTCTCCCAGGTTCGTTTACCAGAGCGCTATTCTTGTCTCATGAAAGAAGAGCCAGATGATTTTTTGGGTTTCCTCGAGCCTTCCTTGCCAAATTTCATGCTTAAAGGCACAGTTCGCGACCGCAAATTGCGGGAAACGGAACTCAAATAGGCACAAAAAAGTGCTAAGTATCTGATTAGCGGAGAAAAGCAGCAGAAAAAGCAGTCCGAAATGTTATAGAGAAAGATAACATAGTGGCTACCAGCTAGTAGCTACAAAACCGGTGAGGGTCGGCATGGGCCTAAGGGGCGTCCATGGGCCTAATTGGTCAGCTCCTAGCTTAGTTCTTGTTGTTTTTCACATTTCGAAAGCAGCGCAGCCTCAAAAATCGCCTTCCGGACCGTCCGACACATTTGAAAGGTCACAGCCTTATTTTTTCGCGGAATGTGCCTTTAAAGGTAATGACCGATTAGGGACGGAGCTGAAATACGAACGACTACGTGGCAGGAAATTGACCAGTAGCAAAAAAACAGGAAAACAGACCGAAATGCCCCAGACAGGACTCCTGCCGCTCCCAACTTATACATGCATGCAATGAAGGCAAGACATGTTTCCACGAATTTTCCCTCGTCGTTATAATGACGACACGAGCTGTATCACCTTATGACCCCAATCTCTCCATTCGGAATTTGAAGTATAGCGGCTTTTCCAGTGGCTAGCAACTAGTAGGAGTCGACATGGGCTTAAGGGGTGCCCATGGGCCCAACTGGTCAGCTTCCAGCAAAGTTCTTGCCAAGTTTCATTTTTCAAACGTATATAGGATCGCCTGGCGCTCGCTCAGCGCGAAAACGCTTGCACTGTGCGCCAAGGGTCCCAGTACCTTCAAAAATTCTCCTATATCACAAGGCATCAAGCGCGCCACTTAGCGAACGCCAACTGTTCTTCAGCGAGTGTTTCGGAAGAGTGCTAATGTGATAGTGACGCTATAAAGACCTTTTGCCACGTTGCGCAAGAAGCAAAAAAAGTGAAGCGCAGCAGGGATCGATCTCGTGACCTGTTGCGTGGTAAACGCGGAGGAAAAGCTCTGCAAATCCGTCACAGAATCCGCTCTGCGAATTTCGGAGACATTTGAGATCAGCGTCCAAAACCATGTCTGTGAGCTACATCTCATTACAAATGGCCAGTTCAACCTGGCGACCTTCCCTAGTTAGTCATGTTGCGGTCGAGAGGAAAGGAAAAACGACCTGAATGTGAAAACCATCATAATCCAAGAAGTAAACCACACGAATTCAGGTTATGCAATTCACTTCGGATACTAGTTCAGAGCCACATCGTAGAAATAGAGGCCTGAGAGCCCTGGAAAAAGGATCGACAACAATGACAGCTGAAAGCAAAGCTGGAGAGAAAAGCAACAAAACGAGTGAAATGAATGAGGTAGATAGAGAAGACGCACAATCATCTTCTCTCATCTTCAAAACCTTTTCCGCATTTGATAGCATAGATTTTTCAAATTTGAGTTCTGCCAGTTCATCGACGCCTTTCCGAGTTCCACTCGACCACGCTCTGGTCGTTGGAGCTCGTGAACTATCCACACGCTGGCAGAAGAGCGTTTGAACAGGCATGGATCAAATGATTAACTGTTGTTGGTTTATTGCCATTCTTGAATGAATTTCGCTCCTTGAATGAGCCTAGGTTTACGCTCCATCAATAACGGTCCCAAAAAAGAGGTTGAGCTTAAAAAGGTGAGGGAGCGTCGCTCTCCAAACGTTGCACACACGAGCCGTGGACACTCCCCGTTTTCTGCTCTTCGTTCCAGTCAAAGCAGTGGCGGAGGACGGTGCGAATGAATTATAGGACGCAGTGGCTACTCCTTGCGACCGACTTTGCTTATACTCGAAATCCCTGAGATCGGGTAGGCGTGGCCACATTCTTCCACTTAATCTGGAGGTGTCTGTGCTTCTGCTTAAGATATTTCACCAGTGACAACAATTGTTTGGGTCTCTTCCAACACAGAACCAGATGACAGTTGACCGGGACTAGAAAATTCCACGAGTGACCGATTCGTGCCATGTTCAAATGCCACGCCTACTCTGACTCAGGGATAAAGAGTGCAGGTGAAGGGACATAGCACAAGTGGGGAGGTGACCGAAAGAGAAACGAGAAATGCAACATAGCGGTTCAAAAACCCTTACGTTACTGTTCGAGGCACGTGTACATGCGCGAATGAGTTCGACAGCACTTTCCTGGCAGTTATCCTAATTCCCTTCCCTGGACCTATTTGGAAAGTTGAGGACGATTACTGTGCAATACGTGGAACTTTCAGAATTCAGACAAAACGACGGTCCCATTTCCTTTTTCCGCTACACTATACTTCTCGAGCATAATTGCTCGCAGTTTCTTAGAACAGGCCTCACTGTAGCACAGATGGAGACGTGAATGTTTCCCAGTAATGCTCAATATTTATTCATCTGTAGAAATAACCCGTATAGCAGATGTGATATGAGGCGGAACACAATAATCTACATACACTATGGCAAAAGTGACTGATTTCCGAAAAGCGTTGGCACGCAATGAGCGTGTCGAAGCAACTTCACAGAGCAGACATAAGTTTTGAATAAACACAAACGTTGTTGATGAAAGTTGAAAGCACTTGGCCTTCACTGACAGACTCACTTCTGGAGAGGTATGTCAACTACCGTTGTTGCTTGAGTAGGCCTGGCCCAGCATTGTGCTGTGCATATCGAAACGACTCGCTTTCGACGAATGGTCGTTTACTGTAGTGAGAGCGGCTCCCTAACGACCCGAAGCATGGTATGACGACAAGATTCCAGTCAAGACTCATTTGATCCTGACCACCTGTGAACAGCGAAACGATTGGGCACATCACAACGGTCATCTGTAAATAAAAGGTTTTGGAGGGTACTGTGAACATAGCTATTTTTCAAAAAATGAGCAAATGCACTTTGTGCACTTGGTTCTCAGAGCCCTTGCTACCACTGAGTCCTATTGGGATTGAGTCCACTGTCTCAAATATCCCTTCTGAAGCAAGTGAGGAGAGCCAGCCACTAATTCAGGGAGCCAACACTTCACGCAAAGGTACACTTGTTTTACTATGACAAATCATCCTGCCTGTTAACTATAATTTTGGGGTCACTGAAGGTTCACTTATCAACATATTCTAATATTTAGAATTCTGGAGTTCTGACTGTTTCCGTTGTTTCCAATTTTGCTAGGCTTGCGATGCGCACACTGCACCGTGAAGATTTTGTTTGATTTTACATTCTACTTCTAAGAACCACGTACAAATCAAAAGTTCAGAGTGCCTGCATGTGTGTCTATATTTTTGCAAGGGTTTTCATTCCATTATGTGTGCATCTGAGACCACAAAGCACTACATGTGCAAACAGCATTACAGGTATGTAGACTAGCTAAACTCGCGTGAGCTAAAAGTTTGCCTGTACTGGTGTTTTCTAACCAACAGAGTGAGCATTCGAGACTGGTGGACACAAGAGGGGCAGAATACTAATGGAGACATGACGACATCTGGCATCTGTTAGGGTATTGAATGCAAAAGCTCCGAAGCATTTATATGGAAAAAGCTCATCACATGCACATTCAGCTGGTGAAGTTAAACTCGATTCGTGGATCAGGAGTGACGGAAGGGACGTAAAAAAGTTTCAGAAATGCCATTGCTCTATTCCACAACTCCGAGAGCCCGTTACCACTCTCAAATGGTCTCGTTTAATAATCCCGATCTCTCATCCTCTGAAATTGACTGATACTATTCTTTCGCTCCCCTTTGCTCTAGCAGAATCATTATTGAAGCATTAATCGTGGTTGTGTGTTAGCATGTCCACTGCGTATGTGTTTCAGTTCTGTGTTTTGGCTCTCACGATCAGTTCTATTTTGCGTTATCAAAATAGCGAGAAAGTTCTGTCGTAGTCTTTACATGCAAAATACTTGCCCATAAACCGGGGAAATCAGTAGTGTGAGCACTAATCCAAATGTAAAAACCGTCGTTCGCGGAAATGAATTTTTTAGGCGCAAAGATGGGCCCGGGGTACATTTATTTCGTCGAATCTTTCGTTTCGAATGCTGCTTTTGTTGTCAAAACTGCAAATCACTGCTGTGCATCACTCTCGGATCAGGGATTCATTTCTCCGAGTCTTTCACTTCGGATGCACCTTTTTGTGGTCAACTCTGCAAACCGATGACGCTCACCACTCGAGGACTGCACCCAACGATGACTCCGGAGCATATAGGTAGGAGGCAAGGGTGTATTCACGGTGGCCTTGTTTCATTATCATTCGTAATTTCCGATTGTTGTTCGGCCCGTTATTATTTTATGGTTTGTTTGTTGTTTATCATCCAAGTATGAGGTGACTCACTGGAGACAAATTACTCTATTGTTCTTGTCTGTGCTCCTGTGCTATCCGAAGTAACCTTCTTCATACAGCTCTGTCTCTCCCTCTCTCTCTCTCTCCTCTCTCACGACTCAACTCTCTCTCTATAAAAAGGAAGCGTAATCTGTCACAGAATCACTCACACCATCACTACAGGTTGGCTGGAATTTTCGCCAATAGCATACTTTCCACAACTGCGTACGTCTCATGGGGAAGTTAGGCAGGTTATTCGCTGCCTAAGTACGTAGTAAAATAACTGACTGGTGTCTAACCGACCTATTGGAACATACGTCAGTTCAAATATAATAATATCAGAATAAAACATCATGTGAATCACTCAACAAATACTCCATGTCAGTGGCAGCACAAAAAAAAGAGAAAGCACTCACCACAAATGCAATGACTGGATGTGCTTGCAACGGTATATGTGAAGCTATCGCTATCATTTTCTCCATATTGAATGATCTGGAAATCAAAATATACATTCACTGCTAACTTACTACAGTCGTTACTATCGCCGATGATCAATCCCTTTTCAGGATGCGGCACGCATTCTACTCCATTCGGAATCTCAGTAACTTATCGAATACCATGCGACCTATACATACAATGACTTGCGGGAACCAGCCAAGTAGTCTTCTTATCCTCCTAGACGAAATTGATTTATCGTTCCTGGAGGATAGAGGGCTTGGTTGATCTGGGCGGAAGCCCATTCGGGATCTGACCTCCGGACAGCACGCGTGGTGAACTGCTACTCGCCACTACCCATCTCCGCCTAATGCTACGAAACGTGAGTATGAGAACAACCAGTACGATGGATAGTAAAGCGACAGTGGGTTTGCTAGTCAGCACATGGACCACCTAGAAGGACTTTGAATTCGCTGTATAATGAAGAGGCACGAGATAAAAAAATTTGTCACGTACATTTAAGACAAGAAGTATATTTAGAGCAGCTCCAGATTGGACTTTTTCCAGTGCAGCCTTTTGATGATTTTTTTTATGAGTTCTGATGCGCAATAGCAGTGGTTAGACAACTAAACTATAACTATAACGCGAGTATGCCGGCCGCTGGAATCGGCGGCGAATTCTGGAACATTAACCATAACGAGCACGAGTCTTCGTTCCCTTTTGAGGGTGTCATCCTGTTCTCTCAAGGGATTCAAACAGTATTTTTGATCCGATTGTTCGTCAATGTCTCTTAAGAAGTATTTTAGATGTGGGACTTCTCGCTGATCCTGACGCTTCTTTGACAAATGCGTGGCGCTTGACGAATAGAATAGATATCAGTCCGGTATGATCTGGAGGAGTTTACTACAAATGATCTTCTCTGCCTCCAAACTTCTACAAGATTCGCGTATGCATGAAAAGCTTCAATTTCCTTCTCCGTTGATCAGCTCACTGCGATTGGAGGCAGTCTATGTTAGCAGCAAGCTCGAGTAGGTGTGCTCCACTGTTCCTCGACAGGTAATCCAGCCCATTGAATAACGCGCGGAGCACCCTCCCTCCTCAACAAAGCCGTGCCGTGTCAAATAAGGAAGATCATTGAAGTCAACCGGTTACCCGACAGGTGAAAAAGAATAGAGAGGCGGAAAGATTGTCACCTGATGTGTATTGTAGCATTGCTTGCGATATCCACAGCGCAGCTATTTCTCAAAGATGGCAGCTGATTATTAGATGCGAATAGAATGAATAGACCGACCGATGACAGTGTCGTGATAATTAACGCTGCTAAGATGCTCCTAATTAGGAATATTCATGATTTTTCACCGAATGTTTCATAATCAGATTTCGGCTGATTTCGCGAGTGCGTTCACTTAAGTAAATTCCACAAACCTTTTTGAATTGGCAGAATGGTAAATAAATACCGCCACCATGAACCTCCGAATCACTTCCACCACAAACATGAGTTCTGAAACAACGGATTCATTTTGAAGCCCGACATGTAATGAGATGCTGACAGCACCTGGACAGTGAGGCACAAAAAAGATTCTTCAAAATGCCGACCGATCAATTTTCGACTTTACTCCCCAACAATCATTTTCGTGCTAAGATTGGGCCACGTCAGGTAAAGTTCGACCTGGTTCCGCTACAAGTTTGACTGGGTATATTACTTAGTAAGCCTATGCTGTCCCCTCCCGCACCTCGAGGCCAAGCTGAAGCCTCCAATTAGGCAATGACACGAACGATATGAAAAACTGAGAAAGGACACCAGTTTCTAGTTGTACCTCCATATAACGGTTGATTTATCGCAAGCTCCACCCCATGTCACGACCTGTGACTGATGCAATCTTTCTCATTAGAGCTTCACTTCTTCACTTCCGCCTTTTTCCGATTTTTTTTGGATGGTGGGCGGAATATAGGCTTTGTAAAGTTGCTAAAGGCCAACGATTATGCCGAGAGCTGAAGATTCAACACTAGGTTTGAGAGGGAGAGGATGGAGAGAGGCACTTGGGTAAGGCGAACCGAATGCTTCCTGCTAGAAGGTTTTCGATTTACGATGTTCACTAACTTGCAGTCACTCTTTCCACTGCCCGGCATCTTCTAGATTGTTTTTTTCTCAATGCTATGGCCTCGCTATTACTGACTGCACGAGGTTCCCATACCCAACGCTTGCCCAAGACTAGAAAGTGATGTTTGATTACCAGATCAATGGCTTACACTCTTGCCTGCTGCGGATGATGGGTTGTGCCAAGGGAGGATGGCCTTGGCGCGGCGCCAGCTCGTTTTTTTTTCGTTTTTCCTTTCGGGAAGCGATGGGAGTACATCATGGGTTCGTACCAGCCGTTTTCCACTAACTTTGTCGCTTACCCGTCTAAACAACTGATTGAGAGTGGCTGGCACCGCACTAAACTGAGGCTTATTCAAATGCCCCATCATCCGCTGCGATCAAGACTGTAGTGTGGTCGCCCATTCATTTGGCGTGTTGAAAGCTCCCAAAAGCCATCAACTGCCCCCTACAAGGGAGGTCGTTCAGGGCGTGGTGCGCTTTTCGAAAACGGTTTTTTGCATATTGTAGGGGCTCATGCAAGGACCTGAAAAGTGTGCTTCATTTTCGCTGCGCGCTTCCAGGAAAGGTAAAAAACGAGTGAAAAGAACTGCTTCGTTCTGGGCCTCTATGCGGCGTAGGTCACTTGCAACTTTGACCAGTTGCTGAGTGGGGGTCCTTATAAAGGGACTATTTGAATCGAAGCGAAAAATCGTCGCAAATGAGCTTCCAACTTTTGTCATGTGCTCGAGGGTGAGCTGCTCCTTGCAATGGTCTCTTCAACGATTACAGCGATGAATACCAGCAGCGACTGGATGGCCATAGCGGATATGATTGATGATTCGCAATTGGACAGTGAGGGTGGAGTTGATGGTTCGACTCCCCCTAGGTTTACACTTTTTGCATTTTAGGTTTCGCTGTTCTCGCTTCCATTTGTGTCTGCGCATGAATATAACTCGGATATTTGCCATTTATGGGCACATTCTGAGTAGCTATACCTCATGAGTCAGTGCTATTCTATTAGGGTGTCCACAAAGTTCGTTGGCCATTTGTAAACAGCGTCGCGTTACGCGTTGTGATTTTGCATAAGATTTCGCAATACTGAAAGTACTCGCGATGGGCTATCTTCTGAGCTAGCTAGCTCTAAATTTCCTTTCCTGCTCTTCCCACAATAAAGCAGTGAAGATGAGTGATAGTTGCTGGACTACTACAACCTGGGCATCTCCAGACGTCAGGCCACGACCAGGATGCGTCAGCAGTTTGGTGATAACACCCCTTCTAAGAACTGGATGTCAAAATGGTGGACGTTTCTCCTTCTACTCGCACGGCGGTCGTCCACTACAGATCCTACCCAACCCCCCCCCCCCCCACCATGCCACAGTGACGGCAGAGACCCTCTCTAAAGAATTGCAGGAGGTCAAGGTGAAAGCTGCCGCCTTGTCCCAGAAACTTGCAAATCCGTGGTTGCTCTGAGACAACGCGCCCCCACAAAGCGAGAGATACTCAGGCCGTCCTGGACAGGCTGGGCATCAAGACGATCACGCATCCACCGTATAGCCCGGACATTAGTCCATGCGATTACCACATCTTCCGGTCCATGCAAAATTTCTTGGACGGAAAACAGCTGAAGAACGAGCGCGACCTCGAGGACGTGATCGAGGACTGGGCCGAGTCGCGGCCGGCCAGCTTTTGGGAGGATGGAGTTGCCTCTCTACCCGATCGTTGGCGAAAGGTAGTGGGTATGCATGGAGATTATATCATGGACCGGTAAGTTCAACTTGGTGAGATATCTTTACCAGCTCTGAAAAACGAATGGCCAAACGGAACTTGTGTGGACCCCTTAGTTATTCTGAGTAGCTATACCCCAAAAGTCAGTGCTATTCAACTATTTCAATTTTCACGCAAGATTGTAGCTGAACGTTGATCTTCATAGGCTAGACAGTGGATCTGATGCGAATTTAGTAACTTCTGGTGTGGTGATTATAGACAATTTGGGGCCACATCTTCTTTCCACTGAATTCGTTATGTACACCCATATAGGGAACGTTCAGCGCTATTCTGGCGCAAATTGCGTGGACGCCAAGAATAGGTGTTATATTTGTGATCAGGGCCACTGATTACCACAAACGAATTTTCGGTCAAAACAATTGTTTTGACCTTCTTGGGTTTGCTTATTGGGTTGTCCGGGGTCCGTAGCGTCAACGATACGTCATCGCTGTTACGAAGATGTGAGACTCCGCTCACACTGCCGACCAAATGGTCGGTCACCTACAACCCGAAAAAGTCAAAATTTTTTTGCTCAAAACTTGCTCCTAGGGGTAATCGATAGTCCTGATCACGATTCTAGAATTTATTTTTGGCGCCAGTGCCATCTGGCACCAGCATAGCGCCGAAGAGCTGAGTCTGTGAATACTAACGAATTCGAACGAAAAAGCAGTTTTGCTCCATAAAAGTAGGATTGTTCAGTTTATCGTGAATGTTTTTGTTAGGACCAATTATTTAGACAAACATGGATCCAAAAAATGAAAAATTGTAGAAAAGCAAAATTTTGTCCTCGGTGGGATCCGAACCATCGACCTATTTTTTACGTTTTTTTATTCGTGGAAGCGCGCAGCGAAAATGAACCTCAGATTTCTGGTCCAGGGTACAGCATGGGGATGTGCGAAATGGCGGTGTGAGTACGACCCCCCCCTCCTGCTCTAACTGACAACCAGATGCATGTTCACACGAAATGGCTTCCTGAAATGGAATCTGGAATTTAGGCGGACTCTGCTCTGAAATCCAGGCAATAAGAGGTTTCAGCCTCATGCAATATGAGGCTGAACAACAGCCTCGCATTACCTACAATTTTGTCTTAGGATTCAAAATAAAACTCGTCGTTCGACAACCATGTATGACATGCAACTTGGCAAGGAACACAATCGAAACAGCGACTAATGGTGATCATTGATAAGCTAAATTGGTGAAAAAATAGCCCCAAGGTCAGCGTGTCAGGCCCCAGATGTGCATTCAATGAATGGTGACGGGGAAATCATGAAAACATGCACGACACAACAAAGCGAAACACAAAAAATGCGGAGCCAAATGAAAAAATGGATAACCAGGCGGCAGTATATCGTTCTATACTTGGCTATTATCGATCGCAACGTTGCGACCGCTTTCATTA